ACTAAGAATTTTTAGAACAGAGGACTTGTCTAATGTGTATCTCTGTATTTAACACAGGTAATATACTCAAAGATAGTACGTGTTCAACATTTTCCTAAAGTTGTCAACTCCAAAAAGAGAGAAGTGTTTCCTTTTTACTTGTGATTTTATGCTGTAGAGTTGGTGAGGCCCAATAAATGCTTTTGAAAGACTGTATTACTAATTGCCCAATTTTTAGTTTGTGTCCTTTATAATTTTATTTTCTCTTATAGGAGAACGTATACAGGTTATGTAATTTTCTTATTGTAAATCACTAAGGGAAGATGTGAAAAGACCCTAACATAGGTCCCTAAGGTAATTCTAACTTAGCTTTGAGTGTATCACCGTACAGTTCTACTATATTCATTTTTTTGTATTGCTTAGTTTTCTTTAGCACATGAATCAGAGTCAGGTTTAGAATTGAAAGAAAACTCCTTGAAGCATCACACATCCCATGGAGCAAATTTACTGTGTGATTCTGAGAGCCCCAGACTTGATGACAACTAGTAACAGCAACCATCGGTGTTTAGGCACCCAAAATTTGAAGCAAATCAAAAAGATTCCACAAACAAACTCATACTAAATCAATCTGTGCATTAGGTATTTTACTGGGTTCTTTTCAAAGTGAAATAAAAATTCACTGTCTGATTTTTTACTTGGACTGGTGATTTGTATTAATATATTTGGCAAGACTTGAAGTGTGAAGCCACATTTTGAATAGGGAGAAGAGGAAATATCTGTCTTGGTTATGGTTTATCTAACTCTAGATGTGATATGAAAAAAAAAATTGGAAATACCCTAAGTACCCAATTATAGAGGAATGTAAATGAATCTATACATATTTTATGAAATACTAACTTGCACTTAAAATACTAATAAAATTAAATATTTGTAAGAAAATTACTTATTATCTGATGTTAAGTATTGTTATTGTTGTTATGTGCCGTTGAGTCACCAGCTACTCAAAGTAACCTATGTACCCTAAACCCTGCTCTAGCCCTTGCCAATCTCATTGTCTCTGACACACCTATCCCCATTGCCCCAGTGTCTGAATCAATCCATCTCATTGAGGGTCTTCCTCTCCTGTGCTGTCCCTCCACCCTCCCAAGCATGACGTCCCTCTCCAAGGACCCGTCCCTCCTGGCAACATGTCCAAAGTATGTCAGATGAAGCTTCAGAATCCTTGCCTGCAAGGAGCAGCCTGGCTTCACCCTCTCCAGGATGAACTTGTTTGTTCTCCTAGCAGTCTGTGGTATATTCATTACTCTTCTCCAGCACCACAGCTCAGAAACATCAACTCTCCTTCTATCATCCCTAGTCATTGTCCAGCTCTTTGATGGTGCACCTTAGTCTCCAGACTGAGATCATTGCTCTACAGTACTTTGAAGAGGTCTCTGACAACTGAATTTAAAAACCGTCTCATGACAGATTTGATTCATGGTAATGATGGTAATGATTGGACGGTAATGATGAGTTGTGAGGTGTGCTGAAGTAGAAAATATATTCTCTGATCTTAACAATTTTCCTCTCAGTTTTATTCTCCTATAAAACAATCATATCTATGGAAGATATAAACTTTTTAAAAAAAAACACTTTTCGCATTTATTAAGAGGTTGATCTCAGCAGTTTTCAGTCTTAACATCCATGCAGCAAGTATAGAAAACAAATTATGTTACATAGTGATTATTGTTATGTACTGTTGAATCAGAACTGACCCTCCAGGGAGTCTTCAGAGGCTATAAATTGCCAGGAGATTGTTTCTCTTTCTTCCTCAGAGTAGCTGGTGGATTTGAACTATGTGCCTTTGGCTTGGCAGCACAACTCCTTATCATTAAGCCATCAGTGCTTTCTATTTAGTAATCATAATGAGGTAAAATTACTTATTATTCTGAGTTAGGATGGTCATCCACCCTAGTTAACCTGGAACAATCACTGCTTCAACACCAGAAGTCCCACATCCCAAGAAATCCCCCAGTTCCAGACTAGCTGGGAGGGCCACCGACTACTTTGAACTGAGTATAGGAGCACAAAGAAGACCGTTGAGATCAACTTCTTAATAAATGGGAAAAGTGGGTTTTTTAAAAGATTATGTCATTCATAGATATGATTGTTTTTTACAAGAATAAAACTGAGAGAAAAATTGTAAAGACCAGAAAATACATTTTGTACTTCAGCATACCTCACAACTCATTACTGTCCAGTGAATCCAGTCTGTCTTGAGATGGTTTTAAATTCAGTTGGGGCAGATTCAAGGCCATGTCACTGTACCAAAAAAGAATTGGTCGACATGAAATCATTTCAGGAAGTAGCACATGATCAACAACCAGTGGCAATGACTTGGTATCGTAAACTGGGGTTATGCACATATGCACTCAGGACACAGTAGCCTTTCATGTCTGGAAGGACAGGAATGAAGAAGATTGCAGAATACTGATGCTGAAATAATTTGTTGCAGACAAGAACAGAAATAAAAGTAGGGTTTGTTTGCTCAAAACTAATGCACAGGGGAATTTTCTGTTTCCTCTTTTTTTTCTAATTAAAGGAATTATCTTCCACTGATGCTCGACACTGTTTATAACTGTGCCAAACTTGACATCACTCAACATGAACATTTGTGTGTGTGTGTGTGATATATTTGATGATTATGATTTTACCTTCCTAGGGTAACATTCAATCTAGTTAAAGTATCTCCTTGATACAAGTAGGAATTGAGAAACAAAGTGGCTATTTCCTGATGTTTGGCATTTCAAGTAATTATCTGACTTCCAAGCATGGATTTCTTTTTTAAGTATGTCTATGGTCTAGACCTCTCCAAGGTACTGAAGAGCAATGGTGTACCTCTGGAGACTAAGGTGCATCCGATACAGGCCATGGTCTTTGCTATCACTTGTTATGCATCAGAGAGTTGGACAATGATCAAGGAGGATAGAAGAATTGATGCCTTTGAGCTGTGGAGATGGAGAAGAGTATTGAGGGTACCATGGACTGCTAGGAAAACAAACAGATTCAACCTGGAAAGGGTTAAACCGGGTGGCTCCTTGGAGGCAAGGATTCTGAGGCTTCATCTAACATATTTTGGACATGTTGTAAGGAGAGACCGGTCCTTGGAGAAGGGCATCATGCTTGGGAGGGTGGAGGGACAGCACAGGAGGGGAAGGCCCTCTATGAGGTAGATTGATTGACTGGGGTAGTCGGCATGGGAGTGTCAGAGACAATGCGATTGGCACAGGACAGAGCAGAGTTTAGGGCTATTGTACATAGGGTAGCTATGAGTCCCAAGCAACTCAACAGCACATAACAACAACAACATGGTATTTAGAATCTCACACTTCAGATGCTCTTTAGAGACAAGAATGGTAAAACTCTTCTCTTGTATACTGTTGGCATATTGTCAGGAGGCTACTTGCCTCCATGCTCCATGGAAAATGACATTAAATTTGGGAAAACAGAGGGGCATCTAAAGAGAGGGAGACCCTCAAGTGACATAGCGACAGCAATATGGGCTTGAGCATAGTAGAGATTGTCAGTATGGTTCAAGGTAGGACAGAGTTTCAATCTATTGTTCATAGGGTCACTATAAGTCTTGGTCAAGACATAACCTAGCACCTAATATCTAAATTATAACAGTTAATTATAGATATTAATTATGTAAGTAGTTTTCCAAGTGTTGTATATGTAAAAAATCTTTTAATACCCAAAGGATAAAAATTGCCTTCTAATTCCTCTGTATTTTTTTTTTAACATGGCTTAGTTCTGGTCAAGTATGAATACGGCACAGGATAGGACAGGGCTCAGATCTGTTGTTCATAGGTTTGCTACGAGTCATACTCTACTCCATGGCACCTAACAAGAAGTAACAGTTGCTGTCTACTTGATAAGACCTGTTGACTCCATTCTAGTAATTTATGAGGTACTTGGCAAGGGAATTATTTCAAATATAGAATCTGAGTTAGCAGACCCGGTTGCAAAACGTTGCTCTTGGATTACTAGCTATGACCATAGACAAGTTGTATAATCAAGCAAATGATTACACTTTACTTCTTTGAATCATGTGTAAAACAGGTATTCTTTCCAGGTAATAGAAGATTGTTGCTGTTATGTGCTGTTGAGTTAGAACTGACTCATAGCTGACTCTTCAGTGAGTTTTCAAAGGCAGAAAATTGCACAGAAGGAGATTGCCCAGCCTTTTCCAGCAGAACAGCTGGTGGATTCAAACAGGATGCCTTTGGGATTGCAGCACAGATTCTTACCACTAGGCCACTAAAGCACCCTTATAATAATTGAAGATAAAGTGAAATTATTTGATAAAATACTTGGTGAACTGGGAAATTGTCTATAAACACAGTACCGTCTATTATTTGAAGTTTTGTTAGTTTACATTTTTATTTTGTTCATTCTCTCTTTTCTTGCATCAGGGCTACCAGTAGGTAGACAAGAGCTTAGAGGAGGAGTCAGGGAAAAGTAGGCCAGATGGAGTTAGCTCCATGTATAAGGTATGCTGCTAGATAGAACGGCTGGGGATAGAACACTTATGCCCTTCCCTGAAGACAGTTTGAAAGTGCTAAGAATACATCACAGTATTATCCCCCAAAATATAGATGGACTAACTTCCTTATTCCATTTATTAAAAAGTTTTTAATTTTTACTTTCATGAAAACAATAGTACGAAATAACTCTACCAAAAAACACACAAAGGAACGAATTCAAGATAGTTTAAGAATGGCAAGGAAAAGGGTGCTGGGGGAATATACCCTACAGCACTTATTTTGCCTCTTTTGATGTAAGAAAATTGCCGAAAACAAGAGACATGAAAATACAGTAAGTTATTATTGCTACATTCTATGAGTGAAAACTGAAGGGTGTGGTGGTCAGCTCTATGCAAAGGCCAGTGAGGTAAACACAGAGGAGATGTGGGCATGGGCATGGGGCTAAGTATATACAGTCTTCTTAGAAACTATGAACGCTAATGATTAAAAAGAGATTCAAGAAGAACAATTAGGGGCGACATCATTTTCCACTGGTGTGGATTCCTGCTCTGGAGGAGGTTCTGGGAAGTTTATTTCTGCTCCTTCCGCTGCTGCTGCTGCTTCTTCTTCTTCTAGAACTGGAATGATTTCAACGTCTTCCTCATTCTTTGGTTGGGAAGAGACTACGGTTAACTCCACCACTTGTTCTTTTATTTCAATTTTTTGCTCTTTTTTCCCCTCCGCTGATAGAAGAACCACATTCTAGAAGACAAAATAAAGGGATGTATTTTTGACCTTTTATCATTGGCTTTAGTCTCAACAATCTCTACAAGTATTTACCGAGTCCCATTGAGTAAATCGTCAAGACCAACGTGTATCTGCTACTCTGTCTAGACAGATCGAGTAGCTTTGGATGAAAGAATATTCCAATATTAGAGGAATTAAGGTTTTAGTGCTGGTTGACTTTTGGCAGACCTAACTCTGGAAAAGTAACTTTCTCTCTTCTGCATAATGCAAGTTTGTGATGATTTATGAATTCTAAACCCTACATTCTGTGATTCTAAAACAGTTGATGTATCTCAGAGACATCTGTATCCTCCAAGAGTGGGGTCTTTTGACTCAGTTATTTTTAGAAAAGGTATGAGGTGGGGTGGGTTGGGGGTGGGAAAAGGAAAAGAAAGAAGTATTTAGAAATGAAGTCAAAGAATAAAAAACTTTTAACTTAAAAAATTAAGTAAGGAATTGTGAAATCAAGATGAAAGCATAAAGTCAAATGGAATAAGAGCTTTGTAGTGTGCAAATAGAAGAGTCTGTCAATTTGCCCTTCTGTGACAACTTAGATCTTGCTGTGACACTCAGAGAGCTATGCCTTTGGTGTTTCAAATACTAGCTGAGTGATGCATAGTGGACAGATTTCAGTGGACCTGACAGACTAAGACAGATGACAAAGCAGGACCTGGTGACCTCCTTCTGAATAAATTGGCCAGTGAAACCTTATGAGTAGAAGTAGACCACTGTCTAATATAGGGAACTCTGGTGGCCGAGGGGCAAGAAGCTGCACTGTAATCCCAAAGGCACACAGTTTGAATATTCCTGCTGCTCTGTGGAAGAAGGATGGACAATCGCTTCCTGTGTGATTTTTCTGCCTCGGAAAACCCACTGGAGGGTCAGCTATGAGTCAGTTTTGACTCGATGACACTCAACAATTGTCTGACACAGTGCTGGAAAATGGACCCTCTCAGTTGGAAGGCATCCAGAGTATGACCAGGGGACGCAGTGGCAGCAATACTGAGTGCAAAGGTAATTGACAGCTGTGAGGAAGGCACATCACTGGACAGTGGGTTTTTCTGTTATACCTAGGGTTGTTCTGAGTCAGAACTGACCTGAGGGTCCCTAACAACAACAACAACAACAACAAATTGCACAGGTCATGGAATTGCATCTTCTGTCTAATCTTTAGGCTTATTTCAAATGTGAAGACCTTGTTCTCATTATTCCTGGTATTTTCTGCTTTCCTGAAATATACCAAGACGATTTTTCATGAAGCCCCCTTCTCTCAAAGTCTCAGTAGAAGGCATTCTCCATTAAAAAATAAAAGGAGAGGCTTCGTGGAGGTGGTACGCCCCGAGGGAGTGGTCACACTTACAGCTCTGGGCTTGGAGCACAGTTGCCTCCAGTCGTTCTCAGCAGTGCCAGCTGCCACGAGTTTCTGGAAGAAGGAGAAGATCAACATCACAGCGAAAATGCCCTAGAACAGAGAAGAGAATGGGGGTGAAAATGTGTCAGTGACGCAGATCACATACAACTGATGCTCAAGGAACAGACTGCTGCTGAATAAAATGCGATGGTTTAAGGGCCGATTCGTTAGGTGAATGTAGTTTGGAGAAATGCTGTTATGAAAGACTGGAAAAATCAGTTGCCATCAATTTAGACTCAAGCCAACCCCATGTGTGTTAGGGTTGAACTGTACTCCAGAGAGTTTTCAGAGGTTGATGTTTTCAGGAATAAATAACCAGGACTTTTCTTCCAAGGCACCTATGTGTGGACTTGAACCTCCAAATTTCAGTTAGCACCAGACTGTTTAACTGGTTACAGTATGCAAAGCCAGCATCTTTCTTAGAACCCTATCTCTTAGCACAATATCTGGCGCACATCAGAGGATTAATTAATATATGTTGCAGGGATGTTGGTGCGTTGGAATTAATGAGACTGGCTCAGGACAGGGAAGGGTTCAGAGCTGCAGTACATAGGGTCGCTATACATCGCAGGCCACTCAATGGCACATAACAACAATAACATACTATGACAGGTTTGGAAGCAGGAGTGGCATCCACTTCCTAAATAACATGCCTCTGGAAACTCAACAAACTTCGATAAATGTCAAGAGTTGTAGAGGGGTTTCAGGCTTTTTGTTCATAGGGTTGCTATGAGTTGTGCTTGACTCGAAGGCAATCAACAACCACCACCACCACAGGGATAATAAATTGGAGAATCAATTTTATACAGACTGTTGTTGTACTGTTGAGTGGGAACTGACCCATAGCTGACCCTCCAGTAGGTTTACAGAGGCAGTAAATCACACAGGAGAATGTCCATCTTTCTCTCACAGGGCGGCCAGTGGATTTGAACCACTCAGCTTTTCACTGTCAGCATGTTTCCTTACCACTAAGCTACCAGAGTTTCCTTAGTACAGTTTTCTGTTGTTGTTGTGTACCATAGAGTAGGAACTGATCCATAGCTGACCCTCTGGTGGGTTTTCAGAGGCAGTAAATTACATGGGAGGAGATTGCCCATTTTTCTCTCGCAGAACAGGGTCTCGCTGGGAACTGTGTGCCTTCCGGATTGCAGCACAGCTTCATGCCACTAGGCCACCAGAGTAAGTCCCAATTAAGTTGTGTCTATCTTCCTTTTACTTAAAATTTTTTTTTAAAAAAAATATATTGTGTCTAGCTTTAGGTGCTAGGGTATTATGTCATGGGAATCTCTCTACTCTTGGAAGCTAAACATTTCCCCCAACTCGAACCCCTAAGTGGAAAATTCATGAAGCCAAGAGGGGCCAATTCTTGGAGAAGAACATCATGCTTGGAAGGGTGGAGAGGCAGTGCAGAAGAGGAAGACCCCAGATGAGATGGACTGATACAAGTAACTAGGGCAATGGGGATACGTATATGAGAGTCAGTGAGACTGGCTCAGGACAGGGCAGGCTTCAGAGCTGCTGTACATAGGGTTGCTATGAGTCACAGGCAACTTGACAGCACATAATAGCAACAACAATAAAGATATTTTTATTTTTCCACTCCAGTTAACCCATGACAATATTACTAACACCATTACAATATTAATGATAAGCATTCTTATAGTACTTTATATGACCAACACACTGTTCTAGGTACTTTGAATATTTTAACTCCTTTATCCCTCAAATTGGCCTTGTAAGTTCAATTAACATGCCAGTTTTATAATTGAAGGCCACATAGTAAGTTGTCGATCCAGATAGTCTGGATTTAGAGCTGTTTGTCATAACAAATCCCAAATCCATTTCTTCTGTGGAAAGCAGCCCAGTTTCCCACTTACCAAGAACATGGATCGCACGCTGTAACAATACTGCGTCGATACAGGGTTTCTCTCAATGGTCTGAGCTTGTTCACAGTTGTATATGTTAATATTTGGTGCAGCAGCTTTAATAAAATACAAACTGTCCATTTTAAAAAAATGAGAGAGTGTAATATTAAATATGTCCATGATCAAAAGAATTATCCCAGCAATGGCGGCAAAGAGGCCCAATGAGTTCATTATCATTTTTCCTTTGATCTAAAATAGAGACACAAAGATTTGTTTATTGAGTTTGATTTCCATTTGAAAACATATGCTAGGAAGGAGTTTCAGATGCCATTTCTGTGTCCCATAAAAGTATGACTCCAAAAATCACACATGGTTTGTCTCTCAGAAGCTTATTCTTATTTTTCTTTCATTCCTTTTTTTAAATAATAAAGAGCACTATTTTTTAATGAATATCATGCCTTGGCCTTTCTTTACCCCCATCCTGCTTTCTCTTTCATCTATATGGGTGCTTCTGAAGTCTCTGCTTGCTTTTCTGTTATTTTACCCCTTTTATCTTCTCATTTTATACCACCACCACTCATTGAGTAAAAGTTCTAGATTGTTGGTGTTAGGCACCATCAGGTCAACCATGACCCACAGCAACCCTATGAATAATCAGAAACATGCCATCCTCATGGTCCCTGACATTGTTGTAGTCCCTAAGTCTAACCATTTCCTTGAAGGTCTTTGCCTCTTTTGTTTACCCCTGGAAGAGTGATAATCCTTAATTCTTTTATCTTGGATCATTATACTTCCCTTCAAAGTCATACCACCATCCTATTAGGCATTTACTAGATATCTGTGAATAAATGAAGATAATTGGTGTCCAGATTCTTTTCTAGCTGAATAAGAATATAGGAGGAGAGGAAAGAGAGATGGAATTGTGGGGATAGACAGGGAATGAACAAACTGATCTTTGAGATCTCTATCATCAGCTGGAAGTAATCAACCACCACCACCACCAAATGCTATTCTTTACATAGGTTTCAATCTGCTTCAGTCAAGCATCTTTCAAAACATTATTCATCTGCTATCTCTGGGGAGCAGAGATAAGAAAATGTGATGTGTGCTTTATCTTGTAGAGCTGATAAAAGCTGGAACTGGATATACACACAGAAGGATTATAGTAATTTATGATCTCTGGTGATTATCTTAGGACATACATACTTTCTCCTGACTTTATGACTTACAGATAGCAAATCTGACTGTATTTGGCAAACAGAATAATTTCATCTTCACAAACGTTTTTCCCCAAATCTGAGTTTGCTAGGCCAACCACAGAGAGAAGTATCTCAATCTAGGCAATCCCTCACATTGGAAGTAACTAACTTCCTCTAATAGCATAGAATGTTTAAGAGACTGTGGAGGGAGAATTGTCTTCAAAGTGTACTGGGAGTCCAACCACAAATGAACGGATTGAGAAATTATGGTACATTCACACAATGGAATACCATGCAGCACGCAGGAGCAATAACTTTGTAAATTATTACCTAACTTGGGAGGGACTGGAGAGCATTATGCTGAGTGAACTAACTCAGTCCCACAAGGATAAATAGTGTATAAAACCATTATTATAGAATGAGTATAAGGATCCAGGAGGGGTGGGAGAGGCTGGAAGCAGAGGGATGTGGATGTGCAGGGGGAAGGGGTGATTAATCATTGGGTTGTACAATTTGATGGGTGGAGGGTGAGGGAAATGGAAAGAATTTGTTTAAATTTGTGTTTGAATTTTGTAAATAAACTAGTGGAAAAATGAAAAAAATTAAAAAAAATTGTACTTGGGAGGAAAATTGCTTTTAAACTTCTGACCCAAAAGGTATAAAATTGGATCTCTGCGTAACAGCCTATTTCTGAGTGAAACCACACTGTGTAGCTTTTTACAGCCTCTGAAATATTCTCAAATATATGACTCTTTCATCTGAAGTCACTCTCATATGGGAGCCAGGACTTCTACTTTACATGTGAATATTTAAAGGCACAGAGAAAACCTACTCAAGGTTACACATAAGCATTAACATAGAACATGAATCAAGTACAGTACTGATTAGATAATTGCCGTAAGTGGTGGTCAGGGACAGAAGGCACCAATTAAAAGAAGTGTCTATTATTCTTACATAGCATTTAACATTCATAAGATATAAACATCTTCTCCATAGATCTTTCCAAATGTTTTCATGAATAAAATCACAACAGGATTGTGGAGGATCCTATGCTTTTTTAGGACCAAGAGGGACTCATTGTTTTTATGATCCCAAGGTTCCCTTGTCTCCAGTTGAGAAAATACACATTTCCCCATTGTATGGGAAGGACATACGGTTACTTGCCAAAGTATCCCTGGCAGTTTTCTCTGCTGCTACCAGAAGTGATCCGGAAATGATGAACTGCAGAGAGAGAGAGGGTGGGTGGGTGGAGAAGGAGGTGGGAAGAAGGGGAAAGAGGCAGAGGGGGAGATAAATGTTGAACATGAGAGTTGCTTGTGAAAGAACCACCCACATTTTATTTTCATTAAAAATCCACCCACTTTTTGACTGGAACCATCATTTTTTCATCTAGGTGCGCCTGATACAGGCCATGGTTTTTGCAATCACTTGTTATGCATCAGAGAGTTGGACAATGACTAGGGAGGATAGAAGGAGAATTGACGCCTTTGAGCTGTGGTGCTGGAGAAGAGTATTGAATGTACCACGGACTGCCAAGAACACAGATTCATCCTAGAGAGGGTTAAACCAGGCTGCTCCTTGGAGGCAAGGATTCTGGGGCTTCGCCTGACATACTTTGGACATGTTGTAAGGAGAGACAGGTCTTTAGAGAGGGACATCATGCTGGGTAGAGTAGAGGGACAGCGCAGGAGGGGAAGACGCTCTATGAGGTGGATGGATTCAGTGACTGGGGTAATCGGGATGGGTGTGTCAGAGGCAATGCGATTGGCACAGGATAGAGCACGGTTTAGGGCTGTTGTACATAGGGTCGCTATGAGTCGCAAACGACTCGACGGCACATAACAACAACAACAACAACATATTCAATCCAACTCTTTGGTGAACCTTCTAAGGGCTTTGTGACTGGGAATATTACAAGACTAGAGGAGAAACAGAACTCACATTTTCATTTCAGTTAATGCATTGTGAATTCGAAAGAATGGTATGGGTTTTTGTTGGGTTATTTTGTTTGTTTTTAGTCTATAGAATGGCTTTTTTGGATTCATGATTATTTAAAGCACTTTGAAGCTGATGAAGAATTACTCAATGTAGAATGGCATCCTTGGCCTGAATCTCATAGGCATGTCAATAAAATGATGACTGCTACAGGAAGTAAAGCTTATCTTTTATCTTTCTTTTCTAATGAATGGTCTGGAGGAAACTTTTGCTCAATCTCATCTCCCCTTGTTTGGAAAATTTTACTCCTAGATCCACTTTGATGTGACAACTATGAAAATGTCACAGTGAAAGGCGCTCACCACCCTACATCACACCAAGCCAGGACTACCAGCTTTGAAAACGGTATACAAAACAGATAAAGGAGTGTTGCTTTGCTCATAAGAAAAAGGAGATTTCTTTGGAATGGGACACATTTCACCAAGTGCCATGGTGATGAAACAGATGATAGGGGTGAAAGAACAAGTGAGAGACCAGCGTGTTCCTGCTCCTTCTTGCTTCCAAGCTACACTATACCAATCAGTCAAAATGCCCAGCTCCCTGTCCCAGACTGGGTTTGGAGAGTCCTGTATTGAAAACGTCCTTTTCTGGGTAGATCCATTCAGGTTATGGTCCCCAAAATTGACATGAAGCATACCCCTGACTCTGAATCAGAGGATTCACACTCGTTACAGTCAATCTTTCCCCCCAACTAAATTATTTTAATCTGATAGTTTTTGTCCTACCCATACACTTCCCTTATAACAGAAACAATCTGAAACATGTCTGTGGGGTCTTTTGGATGTTTTGCATGCGTCGCTCCTCAGATGGTTGTTATTTTCTACTCACCAGAGTGCCTCCCCAGAGAGGGTACCAGACAGCCATACAGATAGGTGAATAGATCCCAACGGGGATCATCAAGAGACCCCCCAGGGCAAAGTGGATGAGCCCATTCATGATCTGGATAGCCTGAGGAGAGAACAGAGAGCAGATGATGAAATGATATCATCCATTTCTAAGGCAAGGCAACAATAGGTGTCCTGGCTACTGACTTGAGTTACCGTTAAAATGTCTGATGGAAGCTGTGAAAGTATAAATATATTGGTCTTTTATGACTCAGGCCAGCTTTCTCCATCAGCCTGGAGGTTCCCAGAGGACAGATATCTCTGGGATGCTGGACCAAACAGGGGTAGGAGAATACCAAGTACACAAGGCTCAGTACTAAAAGGACATAACATCGACCTGAGGTGATCCAGCTGATTGCATCCATGGCCTATCCCAGCCAAAGTCCACCGTGTCAGACACAGAAAGTACCTGTGGGTGCAGTGAATCTCTTCAAGTGGGGATGAATTCTGTGCCTTGCCTACGACATCCATGTCATCAAGCTGGAGAATTTCTAGGCTATGGGAAAGAAAGCCATTTACTTACCCCAAAAGTCTTCGACTCTCTGATGAAGAAGTGTTGTGTGGGGCCTGTCAGTGAAGATATCTTCCAGGGAATTGTTTTCTGAGTGGGATACATGCCAAGAGGGCGCTGCATAGGCTCTGCTGGAAAAGTTCCACTCACTGAATTTCTGGGCGTTGTCATTTCACTCTTAAAATTTTCAAAAAGAAAACACATGAGAAGAGACAAGGTTTTTTTTTTTCTTCCCCTAATCCTTGATGTCATTTCACAGATGTGAATGTTTATCTTTGAGTATTACTGAACGGTCTTGCCTCCATGATGTGATTAAGCCTTCTTCCTAGTGGCCTGGAATCTGAGGCGAGGTCTACTGCTGAGTTCTGGAGGGGCCAGTCAGTCAAGGGCAGTCAGTCCCAGCGTGTTTTGTAGCAAACACTATGTTCATATTCCTTATGCCCTTGTTGCCTCTCTTCTCAGAATGCTTTCCTTAAGCTTTAATATCAGAAAAAATGTATTTTTGTATTGACATTTTCTTGATACCAAGAGTGGTGAGCATTGCCATGGTTTCAAGAGAGCTAATAGTCCGTTCTTCTGATGTACCATAGAGTGTCTTGGAACGACCAACCTTTTGGTTAATGTTGTTGTTGTTAGGTACTGTCGAGTCGAGCACGACTCATAGTGACCCTGTGAATGAAAGATAAAACCCTGTTCTATCCTGCACCATGCTCACACTTCTGACACACAAGAGCCCATTAATAAAACAATGAAATAATTTTTCTTTTACTTTTCCAAGAGGATAGTGT